TATATATATATATATATATATATATATATATATATATACACACACACACACACACAATAGTAATATACATAGTGCTATTAAGAATACTAATACAAATTGTGCATAATAATAATATATATTATTTTATTCATATTATTATTGTTATTTATATTAGTATTATATTTATTCATATTATGTATAGCTGTTATTGTTATGATTAAAGAATTGTGTGTTTATATATATATATGTATTAGAATATATTTTTTAAAAATTATTTTGTTTATGAAAAATATGAGTTATATATATTACTGTTATTAGTATTTTATTCTATTTTTATTTTATGTTAGAGAGATAGAGAGAGAGTATAATTTTTTAAATAATAAAACTAAAATATATAAACCCAAATTAAATATGTATTAGAATTTTTTTTTTAAATATAAGTCAGACACGTTTTTGAGATTCACCACAAACATCATGCAATCAGATCAGAATAAAACTGGGGGAAAAAACATGAGTTACAGGTGTCTAGTGACATCGCAGCTTGAAGCTTTTTTTTCCCCCACTGATGGTCAGTGGCGTCCAAGAATGAGATCCGCGGCTCTCTCTCTCTCTCTCTCTCTCTCTGTCACACACACAGCCGCTCTAGAGCGAGAGGGAGGAGCTGCAGTGAGTAACAGTGAGGGAGCGTGAGTGTATCTTCAGAGCGCTCGGTCAGCTGTAGTACTAGCAGCAGTGGAGTATGTGTGTAGAGCAGAGCTGAATGTGTTTGTGTGTGTGTGTGTGTGGTGACTACCGAATTACCGCCGCAGCCCCTCAGCCTCGCCCTCTTCAGGGTGAGGCCACCCTACAGCCGTCCTCATGATGAAGCAAGACGGGATTCTGGGCCGCCGCCGGTTCTCCACCTGTGGAGGAACCATCTCGGGCCGGCCGCCCCATCCCGACGGACGCAAACTCATACGCAACGCCTCGTTTGGGGGCTACAACGAGCTGTCCGTCTGCTTGCCAGGTGGGTCCATCTCGGGAAACTTCTACGTGTTTTATTTGTTTGGCAGATAGTTTCGATCAATGCCAGTGCCAGGATGAGCAACTGGGTCTTAAATGGTGGACGTAGCAGCAGTCTATTAAAGTTTTATTGTTTTGGCAGCTTGCTGTCAACTGAACGTGTGCATTTGACTCTGGACTGCTCTCCAAACTAAAGTGCATCCATTAATCGACCGCATCTGTTATTCATTGCATCACAGTTTTTTGAGTGTGTGATGTATTACATTCATTTCAACCTTCAATAAAACGTTGTGCTATTAAATGCACATCTTTCTGTAGTCAGCACTGGGGATGGGAATCATAAGGAATTTAACTATTGTGATTTCGGTTCTACTTAAAGTCTTCATTATTCATTTAAAAATTAAAGAAAAATGTATCCTTACTAAATACTCTGCAATATAGTAAACAAAAATGTACTTGTTTTGTTTAGTGTATTGTTGAGTATATAGTTAGTATAAACTGTTTGTTAATTATTTGTTATTAAAAGAATAATTAAACATTAAAGCAGAACCAAAATCTCAATAGTAAATACTATTAAGAAAAACAATGCATTTTTGTTTTTTATTAATAATATTATTATATGTATAGTAATAATAATATAGAATGTTTATAAAAATATTTTATGTTTAAATAATTGAAGAATAATTTATCCTATCCTTTTTTTAGTAAATAATGTTAATTTAAAAATGTATATAAAATGTATACATTTGTTACTGGTATTATGTAAATTTTTCAAATGTATTATTATTTATTAATATATCCATAAAATGTAATAATATACATTTTAATTTATAATATTATTATATGAATATTTATTATTAATAATATATCTATAAACATATAGTAATATATTTTTTATTACAAATATTAATACAAATATATTAAATGTATTAAATTTGTACTGGTTTTATGTTTTTTATACATAATATTATTATATGAATATTTATTATTAATAATAATATATCTGTATGATTACAATTTTGGTTCCACTTAACGCCTTCAATATTATTTAAATAATTAAGGAATAATTTATCCTAAATATATATCTATAATATACTAAAAACAAAAATATAAAAACAAAAACAAAAAAATGTTTGGTAATATATTTTATAATATATTTTTTATATATAATGAATTAATATTTGTTTAATAATAATAATAACTTTTTATTTAATTATATTTTATTAAATGTTTTTTGAATTTATTGTAATAATTTTGGTAATTGCACCTACAAGTCCTAATAAATTCAGTCTTAATAAGTTTTATGATTTAGTAATGTACATAATAATGGTTCCGTTTATCTGAAGTTTCTTGTTTGAATCGGTCCTGAGACTGATTTGTGACTATATAAATATAAATTGTCTTTATATTTATAGATATTTTACTACTGTGTTCTGTCTACATCGGCAGAAGAATAATGTTCAAGAACCAAATCATTCGGTTCCAGTGTTTTTAAAAAAATGTAAATGGTTCCAAAGAAGAACCAGTTCTCATTTCCATAGTTCTCTGAAACCTCATTTGGTGGGAAATTAATCATACGGGTCGAAATAGCATAAATCAGGACTGTTTTTGCTTTGTCGTCTACTCAAGGTCTTTAGCTCGAGCTGTTGAGCAGGACGCAGATGTTGCTGCTGCAAGTATTGAGTAGTTTCAGCTCTCACAGTGAATCTGACTCATGTCAGTGCGGCCTGCGCTCCATTTATCCCTCATGATTATGATTTGAAGAAGAGAGGGATGCATGAAATGCTCTTATTCAGGCACGCTGCACTCTGGATGTACTGACACTGGCAGATGCTAGTCTTCCTTTAGAATGCTTCAGGGATAGTGTTTTTATTTTAAAATTCATGTCTGTATGCTTACCCGGCATTTTCATTATCATTATCCTTTTTTTAGCATTTTAATGGAGTCCACTGAGCAGAGATTAGCTAATGGACCCAGAGTACATTGCATTCGTGCAAATCTTATCTGCGCGTCACGTTCACCTGTGTGAAAATCAGCGGGGTTCGCTCAGAGGGTAATGGCTTTGATTTAATACTGTCACTCAGATCCAGCTTCATGTGTCATTATAGTGGATAAAGATGCAGAGCTCAACAGAGATCATTTATTTTTCTCATTCATTTTCCCATAAGCATAACTAAACTGACTGCTTCAGAAGTACATCACTTTTTTTTTTTTTACGTAAAATGTTTGCAGAATGAATCAACTTAATTTAGTAGGATTTCAGGTGATTCAGATGGGTTTTTGTGTTTTTATTGCAGCCTACTGAAAATAAATTATTTAGGCCTAAATGTAAGATTTTATATTTGGATTGCATAAAAAAATATCCATTTGGATTACACAGTTTTAACATAAATAATAAATAATAAACTTAATGTAATGCACATTTGTCAGTCATAAAACAGTAAGATTTCTGTAATATTACTAAAAACGGAATATATTTTAAATACACATTAAAAAGGTTTATTTATTTATCATCAATATTTTTTTTTGTTTTAATAAATAATATTAAATTATATTTAATAAATTGTAACTATTTGAATATTGATATATTTTAACTAGTGCTGTCAAACGATTAATCGCGATTAATCGCATCCAAAATAAAAGTTTTTGTTTACATAATCTGTGTATACTGTGTACATTTATAAAGTATATATAAATACAAACACATGCATGCATATATTTAAGAAAAATATATTATGTTTATATATTAAATATATTTATATATAAAATATAAGAATATAAATGCATATACATGTAAATATTTTCAAAATATATACTGTACGTGTGTGTATTTGTATATACATAATAAATATACACAGTACACACATATTATATAAACAAAAACTTTTATTTTGGATGCGATTAATCGTTTTGAAAGCACTGATTTTAACGGTTTATATTTTTTAACTGAATAAATGTAATTGTTTTCACAATTAACATATTTACGCAGATTTTATTACATTTAAAAAAAAAAGTAAATTAATGCATTTTTTAATAAAAAAATTAATAATAAAATGTTTGGTTTTGTATTTATTATTATTATTATCATTTATTTATTAAAAAATTTTTTTTTGCCTTTTCTTCGCTGTTTCTTAAATCTTAAATATAGTCCTATTTTTCTTTTTTCTTTTGAATGTCTATTTTGCTACAGCTACATTATGTTAGAAGATCTTTGCAACTTTCGTAATGTTTTTCAGAGTGAAAGGTATTAGGCAGGGCTTCATTTTTATCCATCGCAATTTGATTGGATGGCGAAAAGTGTCCTTGATGACATCATCTAACAAGAAAAGTTGTTTAATAGGTGGATCAAGTAATTATATGCTGTTGAAAGGTTACTTTTTGTTTTGTTTTATTTGAATAACATGCACAATAACACCAGAAATATGTTTTTGTCAGATTCACTTCAAATGGATCAATAGCTACTTTCTCCTATAGCCTACATAACCAATAATCATCTTTTTTTAATGAAGTTAAACTAAGTTGACAGATGCAATTGCTAAACCTCAGAGTGCTTGATTTGTCTTAAAAGGTTCTTCCATTTTCACCGAAATTTTTACTTCCGGAACAAGTTGAGCTTTATTATCCCACAGATTGATTTTTCAGCGCGCCGCTCCGGATCTGCACTTTACTGTATGAGCTGGCAGATCAGCACGGATGTGTGACTATTAATATACAGCGTGCTCAAAAGCACAGGTGCATTTCCCGTCTTGACACCTGTGTGCTGACCGGATGACTCGCAGTAATACTCCATTTATCTTTGTGCTGCAAGGACGTGGTGTTTTTGCTTTGTTCTGCATTAATGAGGTTGTGATGCTCACATTGTCAAGTGTAGAGGGTGAAAACCTGAGTTTTAACTTTGTGCTGTGCTAAAAATCCTTTACCTAATTTGGTGTTCCTGGTCAAAAATGACTAGCCTTTTAAAAATTGCTTGTAAATATCTTTTTATGCTAGATTATAAACAAATCTAGGGTTCAGTCTTTTTGTCAGCTTGTTTTCTTTCAGTTAGCACAGGTTTTCAGATTTCCTTCTGGATCGGGTTGATCGTAGGCCTCATTGGTCTGAGCTCATGCACTTCAGTTTTTAATTGGAAAAATTACATTATTTTTGCATAATTTTGGCAATATCCCCTCAAAACTGAGGTGCTTGAGCTCATATTTTGTAATAATATAGCATAATGAGTTTTGTTTTTTGTTTTTTTATAGGCCGGCCATTTTTGACCAACACCACAAGTGTAGCAAGGTGTAAAAGTATAGAATATTTTTAGAATATTGCATAATAATAATAATAATTATTATTATTATATGTGCATTTAGAATATATCAATATGATTTTAGAATATTGCATAATAATAATAATAATAATAATAAAAAGAATAATATTTATTATTATTATTTAATATAAGAATTATTTACTTAACAATTACATTTTTTTTAATGATTACACAACCAAACTACTATTATGAATATTTAGTAATAACAAAAATAACATTACAAAATAATAACAATACTAATAATTATTATTATTATATAAAAAACAATAATTATATTGAATTTCATTATATTATGATGAAAATCAATATTGTTGTTGTTATTATTAAAATATTACAGTGATAACAATTATTAGACTACAACAAAAAATTGCAATATGAATATTATAGTTGTTGTTTTTGTTATCATTGAATATTCATTATGCAAGTTTTCGTTGTAGTACAATAATTTTTATTATTTTTATATTTGTAATATTTTTATTTATAATAATAATCTTTGTGTTACACTACAAATGTAACAGGGTGGGGGAAAAAAGTCCCAAAAAAGTAAAAAAATTAGTTGTTATACTCTGTGTCAACAATGTCGGTAGGTTTTAGTCCAATGCAATGATATAAACTAACATTTTGAAGCACAGAAAACCTGAACACAACATTTTAAGTAGGGATGCACCGATATGAAAATTTTGGCCGATACCGAT